AAAAAAAAGACACCCTTGTTCCAAAAATAAAAAGGTCATTTGAATTTTAACACTTTCTTGTGTGCTTAGGACATCTGTAAAATTATTTTTCAAATACTTTTTGACAACCCAACTATAGGAAAGTATCTGTACTCAGAGATTATAATAATGTGTGATAGACATCTCATAAGCAATTTCCCTGACTTCATCAAGGACATAGGCCTTCTTGGCTTATGCAGTTATGTATTTCTGCTTTCCATGTGTGCCCAGCTTACTGACAATATTAGTTTGAACTGGGAATCTAATTTTTTTGTTGTTGTTTTAGAGCTTTGTGTTCTAGAGAGTCCTGACATCAGTTGCAGATGTATTAGCCAAAATTACTACTATTATTTTGGGAATAATAGCAGAGGCAATAGTAGCATCCAGTAGCTGGTAAAAAAAAAAAAAGAGATGGCATGAACTTCTGTAGTCCCAGACAGACAGAAAAGACTTTCCAGCACTCTCAACCCTTATTTTGTGCTTACTTAGGGTACAGACAGACTGCAGCCTTGCTACTAGTTAGCCAGAGAAAAGCATAGAGGAGAGAACTCTCCACAATAAATGTCTTTCAAAATGTATTGTGAAATGAGAAAAACATAATGCAAGATAGTTGGATTTAATTTTGTGAGGAAGAATCAGTGGAACATATTCACTACATCTTTTGCAAAAGGTTTCTTTTATTTGAACTGGCTTTCATTATGAAGGTGTTGCCTAGAGGGAATGATTAAGGCAGGAAAACAGTCTGTAAGAAGAATGGTAACATAAGGTGGATCAGGAGAGATATGAAAAAGATGCAGCGCTGCAAAGTTAAAAACTCTCTGAGAATAGGACGAGACCTGTTTTTTGTCTCAATGCAAAAAGTAAGCACAATGTTTTTGTTGGACCAATGCCTAAAGAATACAAGTGAGAAGGCATATAATCCACTGAAGTACATTAGTCAGGCAGAAAAGCTTATTTTGAAGACTTCCGTGTAGATATGTTGACTGTAATTGTAACAGAATACTGTCTGGATGGTTTAAGACATTTCATCTTTCTCAGTGTATTTTAAACATTTCAATTTGCTTGGTAATATGATGTCCTGATGGTGATTGTGGTACAATACTGCACTTAAGCAAAGAAAATAGGGCTGAGTTTTTATACTACGGCTCTGTTCTCTAACTGTTCACATGCGCATAGAGTATTTTTATTCTTTTATAGTATGTTTATCTGTGTGGTCATAACATAAATATACAGCGGATTTTATAGATAAATCCTTTTTTATATTTGAGCAATTTGTCAAGGTTATAAAATATATGGGTTAGAAAGGTACCTAATTACTCAACACTGGTACACGGAACCAGAGGAAAATATTAGGGGAAGCTTAAATTTACTCGTACTGAACAAATAGGCAGGAAGTCATTACAAATAGCATTGAAAAGTGATTTGTTAGCAGACATCTTGGTGCTTCATTGAAGTAGTTCCCACAGACCAAAGCTTGTCTGCATGTAATTTTCAGCATCAGGGTCTTCAAAATTTATTTAAGGACTCTTGAGTTTTCAACTTAGATACAAAGTAAAAATAAAAATTATTATAACTACATTATATATTTATATAATTATATTAGTTATATAATTTAACTACTATATTTCATATTATTTATAGCTTACATAATTATATGTTATTATAATAAATAATAATTTTTACTTTTACGTTGGACATCTTTTTCAAAAATGGATATAGTTTCCTAAAGTTCTCTATAACATTACACCAGCAATATTTTACATATTTCTTCTGCTTCGTCACTGATGTTAGGTAACAGTGACTTGTCTTCGCAGTGCTAAGATTAATTCTGTGCATCAAACTTGGAAACTGATGAAGGAAGAAAGTAAGCTCTTTCCTAAAGTATTCTTCTATTGTATTCTTTTGTAAAAGTGCACCAGAAGGAGACCATTCTCGGCTTTCTAAAAGGGTACAATCTCTTCATTCGGTTAAGCATCATGGTTAGCAGCAAAAACTAGTACTGACTTGTTTTTCATTCTTCTACTCTCTCCTATTATTGCTTAATTTGGCATGAAAGTTGGGAATAATTATATTTTATGATGTATCTTGTTTTTGTATTCATCCTACAAGTAAATACTCTTTAAGCAACGAATTTTATAGGCTACAAGTAAAAGCCATTTAAGCAATAAGGATGATTTTGGTTCTCTTGGCTGCAAGGAATGATTCAGTGAGGTAGCATATTTTACATTGCTTTGCTGAAAAATACGGATATTTTTGCATCTCCTACATCTTACTCCTGCAAGGAAAGATAATGACAGACCTCTTTTTTTTTTTTTTTCTTTTTTTTCCCTTTTCTTGTCTTTTTAATTAGGGTTCCAGTTCAGTTGTAAAAGTTCAGCATAATCTAATTTGGAGCTGGTTAAATGCTTAGGAGCAATCTGTTTGCTCTCACATATAACTCCCATTAACATGCCAGCTACAGTTATATTGAAACAAGTTCAGATGGCTTCGTGTCCCCACAGAGGAAGGAGATTTAAACTTTGAAATAAAAAGACTTCAAGATCTTGTTTAAATAGAGGCTGGGTAAACTGGCAGCACTCTGTGGGAAGTGAGTTATGGACAAGTATGTGTAGCATCCATCATACCTGCAATCATACCTGTAAAGTCAAGCAATGTGTTTCCACTTTAGAGAAATTTCATTTGTATATTTCAGAGCAATGTAAAGGTCACAAATTTCTACATAGGCCCTCATTATGTATTCCTTCAGCATCCAACATACAACTTGAGATGAGGTTTGTGGAACTACAGCTGTGCGAATTTGGAGAGAGCTGTGGATGCAGAAGAATTAAACTTGGGGTTCTCTGCCAACAATTCTGTGAAGTTGAGATTTGTATCAAACTAATAATAGAATTCATAATTCAGTATTAGGGACCATGTTATGAATAAGTTTCAGATGTTTGATTAGTGACACTATTAGGGAAAAAAGTGCAGTCAGAATCTGACTGATGATTGAATTTGACGAGAAACTCTAAAAATAGTTGACAGCAACACAAGAGTGTACAGTATTATGTCATTTTTAATACGTCATTGTAACTTAACACTGGTCTTTTGGTTTGATTATAATTAACATCCTCTGACTGTTTGTATTTGGCTTATAGTATGTCTCAATGTTATGTGTTGAGAATTGTAAAAGGTGCATGATTGTGCTGTTTCTGTTCAAGTTGTTTCTAATTAAAAACTTCACTGTCCAGTGTTCTTTCAATAAGGGTACCTAATACAATATTTACATTATTTTACGTATAGAGAAACTGGATTTTCAACCAAACTGAATGATGCATCTCAATATCCAAGAATATATGTGTGTGTGTATATATCTATGCACGTATACACTTACACATATATTGTTAATTGGTTTTAGACAAGGTCTTCCACTCCCCTCCTACTCGTGCTTTTCAAATCTCAGGCATCTGGAAGGAATCAAAATTTTTAATGTAAGCTGAAAGTCATAATTCCCTCTAGCCATCCTTATAGTGATAGTCACTAGAACGCCTCTCCCCAAAATTCAGTACAACAGATGGCATTAAATAATGGTCTAATGACTAATAAGTGCCTGATAATACAGGATTCTTCTATCTGCATGAGCAGCTTAGTGATTGGAATGACTGTGTCTTTTTATTCCATTTGATACATTAGGTTTGTAGCCATTAAATTCCATATATATATTTTGATTCTTTTGATTTGACAATAGAAAGCATTTACCTTTCTTTTATGTTCTAAGTATCTTCTATTGTTTCATGTTTTTTAAAAAGAAAATGCTGACCTTTATGGGTCCTGAAGCTGACCCGGAATTGTTGCTTTTTGTTTTTTTTCAATTCTGTAATAGCTAAATTTTGACTACTTTTCTACAGTCTTAACTTCTCTCTCAAGTGATAAAGGACTTACTTTCCATAAAGTTTGAAGTTCAAAAGGAAAGATATAAGCAATTTTTCATATTGTTCACTTATCAATTGAAATACTGTCTTTCTTATAAAACTTTAAATAATCAGTGAAGAATTAAACTCTGAATATTCATCCAAATTCTAGTAGTTTTTGTATAAGATTTAATCTAATAGTTCAAATACTAGTCTTAAAATATACTTGCAGATATATTAAATGAAAAAATTTGCTAGTAAATCATGAAATAATAAAGTTATTTGCAAAGTAATGCATGAATTTTAATGAGTGCATATACAAATCTTTTTAGCTTAACAGTATGAAATAGCCAAAATATATTTGGGATTGTGACAGGATTTGTGGGAGCTTTCTCCTTTGAAAGGCTGCTTCTGGCTTTGAATTTCAAACACTACCTTTTGTAGCAGGTGAACAAAAGTAGTCTTCTTTCTTAAAAAAAAAATATTTTTAAGAAGCCAGATAATTACATGTCTGCCTCACATTCAGTTAAGTCTTCGGTGATGGGCTTTGAAGGGTGTGTTTTATATTTTGCTTTTTTTGTTTGGGGTTTAGTTTTGGGCTGGGGTATTTTTGGTTTGTTTTTTACTGTCAGTCTTTTCTGAGACGTTGCTGATACCACTATTAGTAGTAAACTGTTCTTGGAAAGAAGCTTTGACAAAAATTCTAGTTTGAAACAGAAACTGGAAAATACAAAGCTACCAGGAGGAGAGTGCCACCCTCCCCGTTGCCTGAGAAATTTTTTTTTCATGTGAAAGCAACATAAATTTAATATAAAAACTGATGGTAGCAAGGTAGACTAAAACAACCTAATTTTGCTCTGAAATTAATCTACTGTTACACAGTGATAGACTGTATTTACTGAATTTGCATTGCTCTAGTACTTTATCCATTGTTTTCCAAGCATCATTCTAATTATAATTTTCTGTTTGGTCACTAGTTGGATAATGTAAGTGGTACCCATTATTGAAAGGTAGTCTGTATTTGTACTAATACAGAGAATGCCAGTTTAGAAATGAGCCTGATTGCATGGTTCATTTTGTTCTCCTTTGTAGAGCCAGGCTGCGGCCCACTACAAAGGCACTAAACATGCCAAGAAGCTCAAAGCACTGGAAGCCATGAAAAATAAGCAGAAATGTGTTACTACCAAGGACAGCGCAAAGACTACCTTCACTTCCATCACTACCAATACCATCAATACCAGCTCTGACAAAACAGGTTAAGCGACAATCTTTGTTGGTTTTGTTTGGTTTGGTTTTGGTTTGGATTGTATTTTTTTTTTCTCTTGTTTAATTCCATGTCTGTTTGGTTATGTGCTTGCCACATTGATTCATGCTCGATCCATCTTTCTGTGTGATATTGATTTCTTTAAGTCCTTTCAGTCGGCTAGTGAGAGTCCAATAGTCATGTAGCTGATTTCTCCTAGTGAAAAGAGGCTTGACTTTTTTTTTTACAATGGAATGCAATACTCATTACTTGATTAACATATCAACTGATCTAAACCTCCTGGTCTGTATGCACTATCTCTCTCTCAATAATTATATATGGCACATTTCTTTTAACCACAATGTAACAAATTGCACTATTTGTGTCTAGAAGCCTCTTAGAAAGCATTATCAGTAAAAACCTAATTTTCATAAATTTCAAACATTGCATTATTTTTTTAAAATGGCTATTGCATGGTTTTGAAATGCAAAAGAGCTGTATAACCTCTATTCCACACAATCAGGTAAGTGCTATTGATGCCAATTATTCTGCTTAAAAGAGTCTTCATACTGAAATAGTAGTGTTTAAATTATTGTGTGGGTAAAAGTTACTCCTTTGCAAATAAAATTATATATTTTTAAAGTCATCAGGGTTTAGTTGACGTTGCATCTTAAATATGCAGCTATTGTTGGAAATTTCAAAGGAAGATTGTAAGGTCACAGAGAGGTAGTCTAGTGTCTCACAGGGTATGACTGCTCTTGTGTAATAAAGGATACAGTTTGCATATTTAGACATAATCAATCCCCCTCCCCAAGCAAGACAAAAACAATCATGGGGAAAAAAAAAGCCAAAGCGGTGAAACATCAGAGATGTACCTACTGATGCTGAAAACTGCTCATTTGGAACCACTTCTGATCCAGTAAGTTTAGCATTGTAAGTGGATGTGCAGTAATCAGCTATGTTACAAAAGAAAAGTACCTTGCAGGCATGTGCAGTACTTACTTGAAGATACATCTTCACTATATTTGTTATAGACAGATAGCTCTAATGTCTGTCTCTCTCTATAAATATGTTTATCTCAGTTATAACTCACTGTTATAGGCAGAATATGCTTTTTTTGTGGAGATTTATACCCTAATTATAATAGGATGGCTTTAAGAAATATTTGCTACATTGCTTTGTCTTTGTTACCACAAGAAAAGAAAAGAAAAGAAAATATTCTGAGAGGTTTTGTGTGATGAAAGAAATTAAGTATGGGAGAATAGCAACAATGTCAAAAGTTATTTGAGGAAATATGTGTTTCTAAATATACAAATACTTTAAAAAGTTTCTTGTGCAGACTTGTTGAGATACTCAGAACAGGAAGGAGGATGCTGTGTGAAAAGAGTGATTTATTGTTTACCAAATATGATTTGGAGGTTGAAGAAAATAACTGAAGAAAAGAAAGAAAGATCTTTTAAAGCTTTAAACTGTGTTATTCAAAAGCTTTTGTATTATACTGTGTAAGTTTGAAAGATTTTCCAATATGTCTTAAAACCAATCTGAGTTTTTCTCAGATTTTCATCAAGCTTTGAATTAGATCCCTGGCAAGATATATGAACTGTCCTGTATCCAAGGTCAGTAGTCCAAATCAGTTTTGTATCAGCATAAGTAAGAAAATATGAGAAATCCAACTGCACACATAATGGCCTATGCTGGAGTTTCTTCACCTTTACACAGTGGTTGTGAATTCCTAGATTCATTTCATAGAATGTGTGTAAACATATGTGAATGTATGTGTATACATATATTTATGTTGGAAACACTGACCTTATTGGGGTTCTAAAAGAAACATATTGATGTTGATTGACAAAAGACCAAAAATATTACCATTTCTTAAAATATTGAGAGCTACATTCAACTGCTGCCAAAAGCCCTATTCAACCAATGGCATTCAAGTAAGGCAGGCAGTTCTATCCAGATGCAGTCATTACAGGTCAGCATTGATGTGACTGGCAACAGAATAAAATCCTTGTTGTAAATTATGCTTTGTCAAGCATGTGACATGCATGAGGGAAAAATAAATTTGCTAGTCAAAAGGATGAAATTTTCTATCTACTATGACAAGTCAAAAATTTTATTAATTGGATTTTATTTCCTTTCTGTTGTTCTTATGTCCTGTATTTGCTTCATATAACTTTCCAGAAAATTATTCTGAACATCAGAATATACTGCACTGTGTGAGTTTCTACATTTGGAAATTATCACAGTAAAAGTCAAACATCCTGATAATAATACACAGATCTCAGGGAATAGTTGTACTAATGAATATAATTCATAAAATTAATCTTTCATAACTAGAAGAACGTTATGAAATCCATGTACTTGTGATCATTTGGAGAAAAAGATTTTTCTACAGTATTTTAAACCTGTCTGCTGAAGATTAATAGTTGATCCCAAATACACTGAGGATAGGGTCGTGTACATATCACTTCTTATATATCATCTACAGCAGTGGTTAAATGGTGAATTGCATGTCAGTCACAGCACATTGGTCAGGACTTCAGATCACTGGCTCTGTGTACCCTTAGCAGCTACAGTAAACCAAATGTCATCAGAAAATCTGTACTGCTATGCAATAAGGATTGTGAAAAAAATCACAAGGTATACAAACTGATTCAAGGACTAAAGCAGTTTTGTAATGTTGCTTATTCTGGAACTATTTTGTTAGGTGTGATGCCAGCATATGTTATTGACACTGTGCAGCTCACAATATAATCTAGCTCCATAAACCCTCTCACATGTGATTCCTGGTGTTTAAATTATGTGTTAAAGAGAAAACATAAAATATTGGGTTATTTTCCGTATTCTGTGAAAGCCATTATTTTTTTTCTTCCCTTTTAACTAACTTTTAGAATTATTGGAAGGCTTGAACTTGAGAAGTCTTCAGAGTAATGAAACATCATGAAGAGTTATGTTGCTAGTCATATAATGGCAATGCCATCCTCAAGATTTGAGAATTTTTTATCATGCCTACTATTTAACACATTTCTTTCATCTGTATTTACCAATTTTTATGTTACACATGTCATCAGGAAGAAAAACAGAAAACGTGAGCATTACAAGGAGAAGCCTATTTTATGGCATTATACAAACCAGATTTCAGTATTTCTTGATTATCCAATTCAGATGTGATAATAAAAATGCATATTTTTTCTATATATTAACACACGTGCAAACATATTCCCTGATAGAAAATTGTTAAACATCTTTGATAGCTTTGCAAATTGCTCCTCCTTTCTGAAAAGGTATGTTTTCTTCAAAAAGCTGCTTGATATCTTCAGCTGTAAGGACTGACACTTTAGAGCACTAAAATATAGATAGAGTGCATTCTATCATCCTAATTAAAATACATGTCCAGTAAATTCATTGTCCTGCAATTGGATTTTTGGAAAATAGATTGAATTGCCAATATTATATCTATGTAAAATTATGTCCCTCTAGTAACAACTATATGTCTAAATATTAATCTTTTCATATGTGAAGTTAAGCAGGAAACTATGACATTATCAGAAATTAAGTCTTGAAGATTTGGACTGCTTTTTATTTATTTATTCAGCAGAGAATTCATTGTGAGTTAGATCATTTGGTATCAATGGAAAAGAAGGAATAGGCCTTTCAAAAGGGGAAAAGCATCTCATTAGGAGCCATCAGTATGGCAAAGTCTTTAATGCTGCTTTTGAATGTTATGCACTGTGCCTTGAATCCTGTGTACTTAAATGCAATAAATAGCTCTCAAAAACAGACAAAAATGTGATGAGCAGAAAAAGTGTGTATCTGGGCCAAGACACATACAAGATCATCTATCACCAGTACAGTCTTAACAGCTAAAGAGACCCCTGTGCTGTCAGAGAAAAAAAATACTGGTACCTGTCCTAAAAAGCTTACAGCTTCACATGAGATGAGAAACAACTTAAGGAATAGACACTATAAATATAACAGGAAGGTGTTGAAAGAAGTGGTAACATAAACGTGTTCAAGTGATAAAGGCATCACAAGAAATCAAAATACTGAGGGATGGATTAGAAGGAAAAGGAAGAGGGTTGGGTTTTTTTCAGATACTAAACATGTGTGGGTAACAGCATTGGCAAAGGCATAAGATCTCTTTATTTTTCCTTCATTGACTCATATGAAAATTCTTCTGTGTTTTTTGGTTTTTGTTTTCTGGGGTTGTTTTGTTTTGTTTTGTTGGGTTTTTTGTTGTTGTTTTTTGTTTCGGGGTTTGTTTTGTTTGTTTGGGGGTTTTTTTGTTTGTTTTTGTTTTTGTTTGTTTGTTTTTTGGTTTCGGTTTTGGTTTTTTTTGCCTAAGAAGTGGTAGGATATTTCTGGTCAGAAGATGAAGCTCACTCCTGAAATAGCAGTTTCAGTCCAATTGGGATAATTAGGAAATTGAGAGCAGTTGAGTTGGAGAGAACAGTCATTCAGACAAGGTCTTGGACATAAAAGTGAAGGCAGGGGGGAGAAAGCAATCGGAAAAGATGCGGGAATTCAGGGTGAAGTTTGTAGGAGGAAGAAAGGGTAGATGGCATGAAATGGAAAGGTTTAGAAAGACATGTAGGAGTTAGACAGCCAAAATACCAGAGGATCACAGAATTTTTGAGGTTCTGTGAAGGGATGTCATTATGGATGTCTGAAGATTGACAAGGCCACCCCTACAGGTCAGAGCAGTCAGCCTGAGCAGGATGCTGAGTATATTTTTCAGTTGAGTTTTGAGTATCTTCACAACCTTTTGCTGGGCAACCCTATTATTTGATCACTCTTAAAGAAAAGCAAAGAAGTTTTTCTTGTGTTTCAGTCCAATGTCCTGTATTTCAGTTTCTGGCTGTTGTACCTTTTCCTGTCACTGGGCACCAATTAAAAGAGACTCTGTATTTTATATTCCCTGACGTCATCAGGTTTATATTTCAATAATGGTGCCCTCCAGGGTTCCAAGTCCTTCTTCAAAAAGCTGCTTTCCAGATGTTTAGCTTTCA